AGATATGTAGCTTCTTATCTAATATATGCATGCATGAAAAGATGTCATAAAGATCAATATTTGATTCTTAGCATTAAAATGAGATCAATAAAATCATATGAGCCCAGTCAAGGAACTGGTAGCCTATAGTGAGTCTCTGTGCATTTAAAATCTTTAAAATCATAAAATAACAAATATATTTATAATAAGAATGGCTGAAAGGGAATTGACCTTAACTATTGATTATGTTATTTAGAGTTGTTCTGGACCTGCAGAGGCATATTCTCTGATCACTTCTGTACCAGCCACATCTCAGCCCATATCTGTAGGTGAGAGAACATCATTCTCAGGAAATGATCTCAGATAAATTAAAAAGAACAGTAGCTAACAGACGTCACCAACTGATACTTATAGTATAGAAACATCGTTCAGCGACCACAGCTTCTCACAGCCATTTCCCCCTTCAAGCCTTCAGCAGATCAGTATTACTAGCCACATCTTCTCTTAAAGGAACAGTTCACACCAAATTGAAAAGCATTTACCACAAATGTCTCATAAAAGTAGTGCAAACAACTTAAGCTCCATATTCTAAGTCTTCAGAAGTCATACGACTTCTTCGAGTAGATGGCTGCATTGATGATTTTTGCAGGCCCATCCAGAAGTCTGCATTTCCCTGATTCCCTTGACAATTAAACAATAAGATTTATCCATTAGCTTTTGTATTATTGAAGAAACTAAGCTCTGTGACCAAAAAATATGTATGATTCTTACACATTTTCTTCATCATAATAATCTTCACAAATGAACACATTTTTAAAAATTTTGAAGCCTATATAATCGCCGGAAGTAAAAAGCTAAACATAGGCTATAAACAAGAAACACCATGGTTGCATGACTTCAAAGTCACCATTGAGTGCTGACAGCTATCAGTCTTTATTTAAAAACATTTCCCCTGAAAATCTGAGTTAGAGTAGTTCGCAAGAGCATGATAAACAACATAATGAGGCAGCGTAAGCTTATTATTGAGTAGATGAGTTACCTGTTCGGCGTTGAATTTCCCCAACAATCTCTGTAGTCCCATTTAGCCACTTGTTAGCAAGTCAAATAATGCTTTGACTAAAAAAAAGCTCACAAGGGATTATTTTATGTTGTAGACTCAAATGTGATATATCTTGTGTTGTTAAGCACAGACATTGTTTAAGACTTTTAACCAAAAACCCATTCATAACCCCATCAACTTCAGGACAGTGCTAAAATACCTCCTTTCTGGGGTTTGGCCTACAAAAATACATCATCCCTGCAGCACTCTATAGCTCTCATCCAATCATTGTGCATCATGTTTGGTATCAAGACATGCATTGAATATCTTTGGTGTCACTGATGTCAAATTAAACATGTTGCATATGCACTCAAATTTTGAAGCATTTGTCCTCTGGTTTTCTAATGACTCTGTTTGACCCTCTTCATCATGTTGTTCTTTTAAAGGCCTCAAACACCCAGAGTCACATCAGGACAGCACAGCAGATCCCACACTACACATTACGTCTGTAAATGTAATGTACCAGCCCTCAGATAAGGAAATGTTTCTTTGTCATATCCTGAGGAATCAAATCGCTCTCTTTCTTTTCACATAAGAGTTTTTTATATAGGCCTACTATAAAAACACACTGTGGTTTCACCACTCGAAACTTCCTCTCTAGTACAAAAGCTACATTTTACATGCCCAAATGTAAGTGTTGAGAAACGTGGCTGCCCAAACACACTGAACTAATATAGAGGAAGTTGGACAAATATTAAATTCATCACAACACTTGTAAATTGATATGACTGGTTTAAATGTTTCTGCACTGCATTACAGATGTTTTGATCAACGAACAACAGAAACAGGGAAATACAGAGGAAAAGGAGGTATATGTGAACACCGTCACACACCAAACTAACATTACTGTTCATAATGAACGGAATACTAACACATTTCCTTGATATCTGTCTTTTCTTTCTTTTATTCTTTCTTTCTTCTTTCTGAAGAATGTTTATCACCTGTACTCCACAATCCCTGAAAACCAGTTCACTCAAACGCAGGGGATCAAGCCTACAATTGGGTGAAGATGCACTGTTGAATCTTAAATTATTTTCATCATGTACATCCATTAAAGTATCTTTACTTGCAGACAAACAGGTTTTAATTTTAATCATTCATGCATTGTGACTGTATTGAGAGGCTCTTCTGTGGAAAGTCACATTAGCCCAATACTGCCTTGTAAGAAAAGTACACTTACTATACACTAAAGGGGCAGTCGTGGCCTAATGGTTAGAGAGTCGGACTTGTAACCCAAAAGGTCGCAGGTTCGAGTCTCAGTACCGGCAGGGATTGTAGGTGGGAGGAGTGAATGTACAGTTCTCTCTTCCACCCTCAATACCACGACTGAGGTGCCCTTGAGCAAGGCACCGAACCCCCAACTGCTCCCCGGGCGCCACAGCAAAAATGGCTGCCCAATGCTCTGGGGGTGTGTGTTCACGTTGTGTGTGTGTGTGTGTGTGTGTGTTCACTACTCACTGCTGTGTATATGCACTTGGATGGGCTAAATGCTAAATGCAGAGCACAAAATCCAAGTATGGGACACCATACTTGGCTACACGTCATGTCACTTTCACTAAAGGCTGAACTAAAAAAAATGTAATGGAAAATGTTTTTGCACAAACATAATTTCAATATATTTTAAAGTCTGTCAAAATGCACGTGTGCCAAGTGTTTTATAATGGATGCTGGCCAAAGAAGCATGTTTTGGAGGAGTTTGCATTTTAAACATTTAAACTACAATGTGTTACATGGTCAGTTAAATTATTCCTCATTTCCACTATTTTTTGTTAGTGATGATGTCCAGCTCATCATAGCATGTGAAATCAGAGCTGATTTCATCTGTAGTCTCTAACAGACGTTAGACTCAAAGGAGATTGTCTGGAGAGCAACTTTGTATGTTTTATGTAAGTCATAGTGAGCTCTTCACACAATCAGTGAACAGCAGACAGCTGGTGTTTATTCACTCAAAACTAAACCTGAGATCAGATCACCACACAGTGACACAAACAGAGCCATACAGACATTTCTATATGTAAAAAAAAATGGTGAGAGTAATGGATAGTAAAAACATGTCATGGTCATTCATTTTGTTTATTTTTCTAGTTGTGCCTTGCTGTAAAACAATAATACAATAATCTTATCCAGTAATTGGCTTTGAATATCTTGGAAAAGCCATGGAGATTAATTGGTCAAAAAGTTTACATATACAAATGAGTTATAAAGTTTAGTATTGTTATGAGCCAGTCTAGGATGAAGCTGGAACATAAACTGGAACAAACGATCCTTTGTACACTTTCATTTACAGGACCACAAGTGAAAGCACAACTTCAGGAGTGGGCAAAGACCAAAACAGCAAACAAACACCCAACAAACTCCTAACAGGAACAACAAAATTCTCTATCAAACAAACAAATAAATACAACAACAACAATATGGGCTACCATACCTCCATGACTAATAAAGAACAAGTCAAGAGATAACTGTAAAACAGCATTTATGCAAAGATATTTACAATAATATACATCAACAATATGCAGCATCAACAATAGCACACTATTGCAAACACGAAACACACTTATGCAGTCAAGCCAGCATACAGCTCAACAGGCAAACCAACAGCAGCACAACACACAAGATGCTACCTAATACTTAATTTGATGCTTCCTCATTTCATTGCTCCGTCCTTCAAGCCTGTAATCCGAAAACCAATCAAAGTTTATCTGGAAAGAATCTCAATTCTCTAATTACACCCCGATTAGACAAAAAAGCTGACGCACATATAAATTCTCCTTCCCCCTTCAAACTGGCCAGAATCAAATTAAAGGTTTAACGCACCCTGTGACAATGAATATTTGTTTCAGGTTCAACAGCGACATTTACTGGTAAAACGTTGACAACAGTTTTCTGACTCAAATACTGTAGGATTTAACCTGAGATTTTTTCTGTTGCAGCTGCTACTGTTCACATTCATACTAAAGCTTGTTAATCTACCCATACAACAACACAACACTGATTTATCAGCTGCTGCATCAATGAGATGGTCTCTATAAAATCTCTGTAAAACTGCTTTACTGTATCTCAGTATAAACAAACAAAGCTGAAGCAAATCCTCCTTATGTGATCATGTCATATATATTAAAATTGACATACATATTAATTTTCTGCATATAATTTAATAAAATACAGTGCAATCAGTTCGGAGATAGCATATGTAGTACAGTATATAGCTACTGAATTTATACTGATCAGCAGGCCGGACAGAATTCTTTGGAGCTTTTTACCACATTTTGATTTTATTTTGGCATGATGTATTAGCTAAAATCACCTTCAAATTAGCCAAAATATTAAATAAATATGCAAATTATAAAAAAAGATCATAGTTTTCTACTCATTTTGTCTGTATTATTTTCTGTCAGACTACTGTCCAATTAATGACCAATATGACGCCATACGATTCACTGATTAGATTTTTGCATGCAGCCCTTGTATCTCATAAACTGACCACTGACTGTAGAGCTTATTATTTTTTGCATATTAATACCTTTTATATTTAATAAAAATATAACATTGAATTTAATTTGTTTACCTTGTCTTTCTTTATAAGAAAGTTATTTTCGCTTCATTTAAATGAAGATTGATAGCAGATTTGTGGCTGGTTTTAAAACTGCATAATGGCATTTAACTCTCACGCTTTACATTTTCTATCTTTACATGGCAGAGATATCATGTGTATGCTAATATACCATTTCAAATTCAACCTGTGGGTACAAAAGATGTTACATATGCCCTATTTCACAGTGCACATGGTTAAAAGTGTGGTCTATAAGTACACTTTCATCTACATAAACAAACTGCACAATATATTAAACGATTTCCTGTGGTCTATTGTAGTAATACTCTTATTGTGTGAGTCTTGTCTTCTTTTCTCACTCTTGCTGTAATGGAGTTGTTCATCTTTATTGCTTTTCAGCTCCTTATGGAGGTTCAGTCCTACAGTAAGTGATTTATGCTTCTTAAATACTGTATGTCCACATTTGTCGCGGAAAAAAGTGTTGTTGTCCAAAATATCTCAGCATGTCTGATTGTTAAAGTGTGAAGTTATAATATGAATATACAAATATATGAATACAACCTACCTGACATTAATTTTGCTATTGAATTTTTCCTATATGTAACCAGCTGCTAAAATCTGAAATATTAGCTTAACGTGGTTATAGCAATCAGGTTAATTACTCTACTTGAGGTTTACATAATCAGAATATGATAAAAATATGATTAATATTTTGTTAATGTCAATACATGCATATTATTCGATTGGGTTGTTTCAGAATCTCCTACTATAAAAGTATCTCCAGATGTCATAAGAGAGTCCAGCTCAGTGAAGATCAGCTGTGAGACTCCAGCAGATGTTAGAGTGAATCAGTGTTATTTCATCACAAACAGAGAAGAGAAGAATATAAAAGTCAGGTCATCATGTGAGCTCGAGCTCACTGGTGCTGAAGTGCTCAGATGGGCAGGTGTAAAATCACCTGTATCAATCTACATTAACTGTTACTACACAATACATGAACGAGGCATCAATAAACCATCATCTGATTCTCCTCCCGCCACAGTAACGGTTCTAGGTGAGATATTTCACTGCTGTTCTTCTGTCTTAGAAACTGTTACTGCAGTGTTTTTGATAACTGGATCATTTGTCTTTAAACAGATGCACTTCAGAAACCCTTCATCAGTGTTAGTGATGATGATGACCAGCTCAGCATATCATGTGAAATACCACTTTCAGTCAGAGCTGATTTCATCTGTAGTCTCTACACTGAGGACGATGTTCTTCTGTATCAACGTGACTCTAAGTGGAGTCAGTCTGGAAAGAATCTTTGTATGTTTTATGTAAGGCGTAGTGAACTCTTCACACGTTTTTACATGAGCACATTTAATGATTAGAGACGCCTGTATAATTCTGTAGTCGGTATGATTTATTATGTAGGCCAGTCGGATATTATGAAGTCATTTGTGGGAGATTCATCAATAAAAAAAAGTCAAGTCAGTATCTTCAAAACACAAACTATGAAATAAATTGAATGATAATGATTGCTGATATGAATTTTGTGCTGCTGTTTTCCCTCCAAAATGACATTAGAAAATGACTAAAAATGACAGAAAGTAAAGATTTTTGCAGCATTCTGAAGAGTCACCTGCTTCTATTCTGAGATCTCTCTAAACATATTATAATTTTTTTATTCATTAGATCTTCCTCAGGCCAAGTTGAGAGCGTCTGCTTCAGTTATTCTGGAAACAGACACAGTTGAGCTGAGCTGTGAGAATACTGAAGATCTGAAGATGGAGAAGTGTTACTTCAGCATAAATGGAAGAGAAAGTAACTCAAAAGTGAGCTCATCATGTCAGCTCTCACTCACTGGATCTCAGATCAGTGTTTGGCCTGGAGGTCAGAGTTCATCTGTGAGAATAAGCTGCTTCTACACTGTGAAATTGTCACAAGTTCAAAAACCATCTGCTCACTCTGATCCAGTGACAGTTACAGTCCAGAGTGAGTTTTTGTATATGCATATGTTGAAATAACTGATCTATTTACAGCTGTAAAACTTAACCCCTTTTCTCAAAAACAAATGACTATACATCTACTTGTATTTGTCCCTTGTGTGATAATCTCAATGGTGACCTCTACTGATAAAACTTTGACAACTGCCACAAAAACAAGCGAGTAACCATATATCTCAATATACATCTCAATATTTTTTTTTTGTATATTAATTTGTTGTTTATTTTGAATGAGTTGTCTAAACCAGTGCTAGGTGGATGATTTAAAAAAAATATGTTTATCACATTATATGATTCTGTACAGCTCAGTTTTCAGTTTTCTGACATTTTAATATTGTATTATGTTATACTGTATTAATAACACAGCTAAAGTTTTATTTCCAAACTAAATGCAGTTTGTGACATTATTGCAATCTCTTTGCAGCTTCAACCTCTACCGATGAAACTTTGACAACTGCCACAGGAACTTGTGAGTGAATATTGAACATTTTTCAAATTAAACACATACTTGACAAGCACACAGAGGCATTTTGCTCATTTCACTTTAAACTGCTTCAAAGTAAAAAAAAAAACTTTCTTACTGAGTTCACTGTATCGGTTTATTTCACAGCTTTGTTTAATGTGACTGTAACTGTTCAGTCAAAGCATTAGCAGACAAATAGTGTCATATAAGTACAGCTAAACTGTAAACTGAATTACTCCATCCTGTATCTGTATAGTGTCATGTCTGTCGTATCACATCACACTCTGACACACTGTTGAATCTATCAGCTGTTTTCACAGCAGCCTCTACTCTGCCTGATTCCACCAGAGAGACAGAAACATGTAAGAATATTTTACTTTGCTTATGAGACAATATTAAATCTAATATTAAATCTGTGTTAAATGTTAAATAAAAATAATTATAAGACATTTTTAAGACATTAAATATTACTTAACAGTGATATAATCTAGATAGAAACACTGATGTCTGTAATACAGTAGTTCAGTTTTTTACTCTAATCTGATTTCATCTGAGATCTTTTCTGTTGCAGCTGTTCCTCACACTGTTCACACTCACTCTGAAGGTTGTTCATTCACTCACAACACAAAACTGCTATTCTGAATATTTGTAAAATCTAACACAAACCTCGAAATGTCCTCGTTTCGTGATCATATATTACGTACATGGTACAGTGCTGTGAAAATGTATTTGCCCCCATTTTCATTTTTCTCTTTTTGTGCATATTTTATATTAAATAGTTTTAGATCTTCAAATGAAATACAACGAAGGCAACACATACAGTTTTTTATTTTTATCGATGTATTAACATCACCTGGAAACAGCAACAACTTTAACAGCAGTAACTGCAACCAAACACTTCTGATAAGTGGAGATCAATCTTTCACAGCACGAAATGTTTACTTAGGTTGCTTTGTTTTATTGGTTTTTTTTTATTTTTGAAACAATTTTGTAAGGGATATGCACTAATACAAAAGAAATCAGGATGGGGGCAAACACTTTTTCAAAGCAAAAACCTGAACATAATTGATCTGATTTGGTACAATTATGCATATTCATTCCCTCATTGCAATATAAACATGGCTTAAATAATTATAATTAATAATATAATTTAATTATATATTTAATGTAATTAAATATATAATTAAAAAAATAAAATAATTTAAAAAAACTTATTTTCTTCTGACAGGCTCATGGCTTTCAGTAGTGCTGGTTTTCACTGTTATTGGTTTATTTCTGTCTGGACTCATAGGATTCATCTGTCTGTGCCGCTTTACCAGTAAGTACAATGTACAGGTTTAGTTGTATGTAAACTGATAAACTCCGTGATATAGAAACATATGATAATAAAGTCTGTATCTCTGCAGGTTCTGCTGATGTTCTCACAGAGCTGAACTACACCTCCTGCCAGCTGGAAACAGCATCTCTTTTAACCTCCTCTGTCTGCCCCTCAAAACATGGATGACCTGTTCACTTTCTTTAACTTTCGCTAAAGTATTAAATATTCAATCTAATTTAGCCTATATGTATACTTCTTTATTCAACTATTGTAACACACATTGCTTTTAACATACACATGAATTCTAACAACAAAGTTGACAATTGAACTTCAACAATTTTAGAAAATGATCATGCAGTTGCTTCCATATGATTATCTGATTAGATTTTTGCATTAAGGAGCAAAGGTGTAGGCCTACCTAATAAAGGGACCACTGAGTGTCCAGCTGTGTGTATGAAATCACTAACCCATTCACTATGGTATGCAATAAAAAATGAAGATAAACCTGAACAAAGATGTGTGTGAGGTGTACCTGTCAACCCTCCCGTTTTCCACGGGTTTTTTACCATTCTATCCCGCTATCATCCCGTTTAAATATTTTCCCGTATTTTTAATCTTTCTATTAAAAAAAATCCCACTGGCAGTATTTTATATGTTTGCTACATTCGCTTCCGGTAAAACTCCCGTAATTTGTATGGCCCAAACCTTATTGTATGAATAATCACGTCAACAAATTCAAAGGTTGTCCAGTTGCCAGATCTTGTCTGAAACGCATCTTTCTCACATCTTACAGATTATAGATTTAATATGGGCTGCTTTTGGTGCTTGACACCTTTTTATTGGTCATTTTGTGTTTCAAGAATAAGGCCCAAGGTTAAGAATTATGCTATTAGTTACTTAAATATAAAATGTTTTTCTCTATTTAACAACATTACAATAGTGAAAGACGACTTCCCTTACTGATCACGTCTCTTGCGCGGTGGGATGTTGGACTCATGAAAAATAATCACGTAGTTTGTATTCACCAAAACTGATTTACTGAAGTGAAAACACGGACGGAATTGGCGTGTTGCCAGACGTACGATAATTATCGTATTTGTACGATAATTTTGATCTCTGTGCGATGTACGATCAATAATTAAAAAAATCCCATAATGTACGATAATTTCGAAATTTCAGAACGTGTTTTTTCCAAAGTCAACCTCATCAAAACAAAGCCATGAAATCAGCTCATTACAGACGCTCTAAATGGGTTGGTGCACACCTCAGGACCCTCAACATCTGGCAACACGCAGGATTCTGATGACAGCGACTCTGAGGTGGAGTTTGGACCTTCCCGCAAGGTACGGCAGGATTCTGATGACAGTGACTCAGAGGTGGAGTTTGGACCTTCACACAAGGTACGCCTATGGCCCTATGTTCTGTGTCTGTCTGAATCATATATGGTCTGAATAAATAGGCTTGTTTGAGATTAGCAAAATCTGCGCAGAACCGATCACCGGTGATCACTGCGAGATGCATGCCGGTTAGAAAAGTGTCCGAGTTACGTCTGACTTGCTCTGATGTCATGCTGACGTATGCAAAAAAGCTCTCACCGACAGCGAGGCGGCTGTGTCGGATTGTGCAGTTGCTCTCCACCGACTGCGCTGATCAAAAGCATGATGGGAAACGACTGGCTGACGACCTCAAACAAGCCTAATGTCACGCGGTTTTGTTTACTACACACATACGCTCGCGTGATTTCAGCATCTGCCTTCTCACTAAATAGGACATAAATACATGAACAACATCCCCAGAACTGCTCTGAGAGTCAAAAATATATAGTTTCTGCCAGAAATGTATTACTATTGTTCAGTAGAATGTACGTACAACTACTACTACTAAAATTATTAAGGAATAATCACAATATTTCTTCCATGTTTTAATTTTAATTGTAAATCCCCTTTGTTTGCAAAAAATTAATTGCATTAATTAAAAGATAAATTAAATTAATGTGTTATGCCTTCATTCGATAACCAGAAAAATTTAAATACACAATGCAGAAAAAAAAATTCATAAGGCTATAAATAATAGCTTTTATGCATTAAAATAATTAGACATATTAAAACACAGAATTTGGTAACAATAAAGAAGGTGAAAAAAATAGAACATTTCATAAAACTCTAAACATGTCATTTTTGTTAAACTTTTTAATAGATTTGATGTTGAATTGTATACGTTTCATTATTTAATTAGACGTGATTGTTTTGATTAATACAATTTTATTTAACCATTTAAAAAGGAGTCCAGAAAAATTAAAATGAAAAAAAAAAAAAACTG